AAAAAAAAAAAAAAAAAAAAAAAAAAAAAAAAAAAAAAAAAGTATAAAATAAGAGGTTGGGTTTTTTTTAAAAAAAAGGAATATTTTTGGAAGTTACGATTTGGGGTTTTTTCTTGGGGGGGGCGGGGGGGGGGGAGCTTGTGGGGGGTTTTTTGGTTTTAAAAAGACTCCTGTCCAACACGTGAGCACCACCTTTTGGCATAAAGTTTATCAAAGCCACACAAGTCAGCTAGCACTCTGCATCGTTCACGTGTATTTTAGATGCAAAATAATCTTTTCACCCACGATTTAGGAAATTAGTTGCTTGGGCGAGGGGGTGGGTGCAGATTTCACTCTTTTTAAAGTACAAACAAAAACAAAACACCAAGTTCAGTGCTCCCATTCTGGAAGTTTTGTTTCTGCTCTGTTTTTGGTGTAAAGTCTGAAGGGGAGAAAAAGTTCATAGAAGTTGGAGATTCAGCACTTAAGTTTGGCAGGTTTCAGTTCCTTTACTTGCGTGTGCAGTGTCTTGTGGACAGCTAGTGTTCTGGACTGGCAAAATCCTTTCCCACATTCTTGACACTTAAAAGGCTTTTCTTTAGAATGGATATATCTAGGGAGAGAAAAACAATTGAGAGGTCAGAAATAACAGGCCTAAACTCAGCAGTGAGCTACCCGATGGAGAACACGCTGGAACTTTTTACACCTACTGCTGAGACTGAGAGTGCCGGAGTGCAGTACTCGGGCAATCATCTGTGCATGTGCATGAAAGAAGACAGGGGGCTGTTGAAGCCTTACGGGGTGCCTTTCTTGGGAATAAAGAGCTTCTTTCTAACTGCGGGGCCATCAGGCTGCATGTTTTCATTACACTTCTGAATGATCACAAAAGCAGAGGACACAAAATGCAAGCGGAGAGCAAAAACATCTGTGAAATCTAAAAAGGAGGTTGTGCAAGTCATTTTTGCAGGGTGACTGACTACAACAACAGGCCTGTTTTCCAAAGTGGGTTATCTGGTCTCCTCCATCAGCAGTGGGCAGAGGAACACCTAGAGGGAACACTGCCGGCTGGCCAGGGATGTGAATTTTCTCATAAGCACCTTCATGAGCATGGGTGGATAACCAGGGGATAACAAGGAAAAAAAGGACAGGAGAAGAAGAGTCATTACCTGTGATCCCTCAGGTGATCCTGTCTTCTGAAGGCCTTGTGGCAAATGTCACATGTGTAGGGCCGTTCATCAGTATGGGTTCTTTCATGGATCAAAAGGTTGTAGGACTTGGTGAAGTGCCTGCCACAGAATTTACACACGAACTCCTTCTTGGTTTTGGATGGTAACCTTCCTCGCGTGGGTTTCTTCTCTGGAGAGAGTTTAGTCACCTCAAGCAAAGACCCCAGTCCTGGGGGTGAGCCCTGACTGTCTGCCTGTCCCAGTTTAGAGTGATCCTCTTGTGTGGCAGCCACTGCTAAATTGGCAAAGTCGAAGCGGGGTTTGGCTTTGAGGGTCACACTGGTGGCCTCTTGCTTGGGCTGGATGACATGTGGGAAAAGCGGGAAGGTTGGCAGCTGAAACCGTGCATCCACCAGGCTCGAGACACTGGGCACTTTGGAGAAGGAGGAGCGGGGCAGATGCATGGCCGGGTACCCCAAAGTCCACTGGTGCAGGTGTACAGCGTGCAGGGCACTGAAGCCGTAGAGGTTGGAGAGGTGGTCAGAGGGCACGGCGGGCAGCCCGTTGAACGCTTGCAGGAAGGAGTAGTTGGTGAGCTGGAGGGAAGGATGGATAGGCACGGGGGCCGGCAGGGTCTTACTTCCCATGGTGGCCGCTCAGGAGGAGGATCTTGGGAACAGGGGAGGAAAAGATCTGGAAAATAAAGATGGAAGAGGGGAAGAAGCAGAGGTGGATTTATACAGATAAAAGCAGAGGGAATTTTGCACCTAAGCCCTTAACGCACTTACCCAAAACCACAGGAGGAGGCTGCCTTGGTCTTGGAGAGGCCTGAGCAGCTCTTGGCTGAGAGTGTATCCCCTCGAGACTCCAAACTCTTCCTCTCCCCATCCCTTGCACACAACAGTTTTACCCCATACACAGTCATTCACCCTGCAACAGCATCCCTCCAATGATCCTCTGCACAGAGACAGCAACACCAAGCTCAGTCTTATCTTATTAATTTAAAATCCCTTCCTGGGAGCCTTCAGCCTTCAGAAAATAGTGGCATACTGCCCACTGCATCTATCCACAAAAACTGCCTTTAGCCCTGACCCATGAGGTGACGTGGGGAGGAGGTGCAGAGAGCTCGCTGCCCCTGGGTCACTGAGCTCCCTGTGGTCTGGCCTCAGCCAAGCCTCTGGGGTGGTGGAAGCAGCTGGGTGCTCAGAACAGCACATCCTCCCTCATTCAAAAAAAGAAAATCCCCCAACATTTTTTGGGGGAAAATACCAGCTAACAGCCCTCCCTCTTATGAACTGCAAAAACAAAGAGGAAAATGCTGAGTTTGGGTGACAAATCTGAAGTGCCATTTGCTCTCCCCAGGGGGAAGTGCCTGGATTCAAGCCCACATCCTAATCTAGGCAATCGCTTAATTAGAACCCTTCAAAAGGCAAAAAGGCGAGGGCTGGAGGGACCCTTCCCATGGGGACACCCAGCCCACCAGCTGCAGGGCCGCAGGGCCGCAGCCCTTCCCTGGGCTGGGTGCCATCACTTTGCTCTGTGTTTCAGGGTCCCGCCAAGCCCCCAGCCCCTCCTCTGGGCCAGATCCCTACCCATTCCACTCCACAAGGCGGAGGGGAAAATGCTACCAGGCAGCAGCATCAAGGCACATCTGGCCCAGCCTGCACATTCAGGCCCAGCTGCTGTCAACCATTTGGCAGGAGATGCCTCCCGAGGGTTAGTGGTGGGGACACAGCTTCTCTTTGTGGGTGCAAGAGAGCACCCGTGGCTTTTGGAGGTGTCGCATTGCCACAGCTCAGGGACCCTCCTCCTTAGTCTACAGCCCACAGATTATATTTGCTTCCCTCCCCCCCAGCGAACTCCAAGATTTTCCCCCCAGTGGGGGTGTTTTCCAGCAGGATCCCCACAGGGCCCCTGTGAAGTCCCTGCAGGGTGCTCATTGGATCCCCACAGTTTTGCTTCAGGGTTCCCACAGGATCCACACAGGGCCCTCACAAGATCCCCTCTGTAGGGGTCCCCGCTGAGTCACCGTAGGATCCCCACAGAATCCCGGCAGGATCCTCACAGCACTCAGCCTGGAGTTCATCCCCACATGAAAAGTAAAGCCCCTTTGGAGAAAAAGAGGCAGCAAAGTGCTGCAGAGCAGTAACTGTCCCTCTGGGCTGGAGGGCTGGGAGGGTGGAAACTGGTGGTGGAAGAGGTCTAAAGACCAGTGAAACAAATCTGATTTATATGCAGACTATTGCCTGGACTGAGGAGCTGTGGCTGGGAGGGTGTGTGAGGGAGAAGCTTACACTGAGCAGCTCTATACGCCAGGTCCACCTTTCACACTACTTTACATAAATCAGCAGCAGGAAGAGAGACCCAAAACTTAGAGGAATTCCATTGCGGTGACCCAGAATGAGATACTGTGACATTTTGCCTTTTTTAATTGGATGCATTTTGGATAGTGGCTGATTGAAAAATGCACACATTACATTCTCCTCCCTCTCCTCCTCCTCTACCCCCTAAAAAAAAAAAAAAAAAAAAAACAAAAAACACCAAAACACAACTATTTAGGACCATGAACCAACCAGACTGTTTCGTTGTTCAACTGGAAAAATGCTTTATATTTTGTTAGTTCTGCCCATACTCTAGGTGTGTCAACTTTGCAGCACAAATGCCTCCATCAATGACCCCGAGAACAAAGTGCGTGGAAAACACTCTTGTCCCGGTACCTGAAACGTCTTTTTCTGTCTGTCACAACGGCTCCATGTCTATTTTCCTTTCTAGGTAGCCCTAGATCTCTCAAGCATGAAGCATGCTATTGCAAACTGAGCTAATTTCTGGGTTTATTCCTCTTTCTTCTTCGTACCTTTAGAAAACATTTAATACAAAATATGTTAAAAACCCTCTAATATATCCATTTGGGTTAATTCTTGTTCGATAATATTTTAAAATTCTCTTTCGATTTTCTAATCGAAGAAGGGGTCAGAAACCAAGGAGAAATAAAGTCGGGTCATAACAGCATCCATTGCGCCCGCGGTTTTTTGCTAGAGCAGTTCTATTATTTTTCAGAAAAGAAAAAAAAAAAAAAAAAAAAAAAAAAAAAAAAAAAAA